TGAAATCTGAAAAAATCACTTATTTCGGACCACAAGAAAAGGCCAAAAAATCACTTATTTTGGATCGGAGGGAGTATAATTTTTGAAGAAAAAAAAGTAGTATTTGGAATTAAGTTGAAAATATGGTATTTGGATTTGAAATTGTGTTTGGACATGCATTTCACTGGAAAAAATATTTCAGTTTTATGAGTGCGGAAATTTATTTATTTTTTTGAAAATTTGGAAAATTTGGTTTCGATTTTTGAAAATCTTATTTTTGATATTATTTTAAAAACTTATAAATTTTCATGAGCAAACACATTTTTTTTTTTAAAAAAACGTTTATGTACCTACTTTTTTAGAAAATTAAATTCATAAAAAAATATATAAAATTGGTTAGCTTTACGAGTGTTTCAGGTAGGTAAAACTATTCACCAAAATTAGAGCAAATGAGGTCATACTAGGTGTTGTAGCTAAGATTCAAATAAGGAAATCTTCATTTGTAACTCTTATTTCTCAACCACACACTAATATATGGGACTATGGGAGTTTCATTAAATATTGAACAATTTATATTTCAACTTCTTTTCGAGAAAAAATTTAAATTGAAGTTTAGTAGTATAAAATTTAAGGTATAAAAATTTAATAACGAATGCCACCTTAATGATTGAAAATTAGACCGACTAGGTTGGAAAATGATTACAAATACATAATAATTGTAGACAGCTGAGAGTATAATCTTTTTGTTATTTTTTTAATTTTTTTTCTTTCCCAATTCATTATATTCGAAGTGAGGCATGAGACATCACATGGGTGTTTGTTAGTCATTACTCATTAAACGATAAATTAATGGAATACTAATTCTTAAAGTAAGAATATAATAAGTTCGACAATATAGTAAAATCATTATCATTTTGGTATCTTTATATTTGACCATTATTTATTATTATAACAATTCTTGTAAAACAATTTATGGAAAGATATTTCTCTTTCAAGTGGTTTTGTCGTGTAGTAAATTTTAACATGAATAATCGGCAGTCGTCCTCTAATATTTTAATAATTCATGAATACTTATTCCTAATTATTTAGTTCTTCCACCGTCTTAAAATAAATGATTAGGTTCAGACTTCAGATAGAGGTAATTAAACCTTAATCTTGGCATTAGTTTAAGATATTAATTTTTATTTTTATGTTTATAAATTATATAAAGAGTATTATTAACTATTATACATAAGAGTATAGACTTTAATTTTTTTTTTCTTGAAAAAGCAATTTGTCCCTTGAATAATGTTGTGAAAACTTCACTAGTATGGAACTTGTTCTAAGAATGGGGTCAAATATTTATTTTTATTCAAGTTTTAAAAAGTAATTGTTTTATTTTTGCATGTTTAGAAGTTCTATACAAAGTAACATAAAGTGATATACCTAAAAGTTAATTAAAAAAGTATTTGGGAAAAGTCAGACATAAAAATAGCTAGTCCCCTCATGTTAGATAGAAATTTACAAGTGCGATACTTGATCTAAACGGGATCTTATACACAAATATTCCGCAAAATTTACTATTTATTTTTTCTAGCTGGTATATATAAATTATACAATAGTTATATGTGGTCATACAAATATTATACATAGATTAAACATATATTATACATCTACTGATTGTTTTTAATTTAAACGGTTGGCTGGACAGGTATTGAAGTTAGCTTCAAAGACCGTAAATTAATCTTAGGATCTTATAGTAGTTGTTCTCTTATTTGGATTTGACACCAGTACCCACACATTTGAATCCATAATATTTTTCCAGATTCAAATACTATGAATTAGTCTCAAATACACCACTAATTTATTTAATCCAAAATTATAGAGGCGCTAATTGTTCCTTCACATTTTTATCATCATAGAGATGGAATCTTCATTAAGTGGCCCAGCCCAATAATAAATCTGTCCAAAGAAAAGGTCCAGATTCCACTGCAGCCCACATTTTGACATGGTATGTCTAAGAAGCCTAGTCCAGCAAAATGTTGGAATACTTGATCAAGTCTGCAGTTTGAATTTTTTTTTTTTCCGATAGTGGTGTCCGGATCAGTCTGTGCATATCTCGATTATTTCATCAGATATCTTCTACTTCCACCAGCATAATACAATATGCTAACTCCAACCAGAATAAGTACCTGGTTACGCGTATCTCGACTATTGGATACCGAGCTACCTCCTACCACCACAGGTACCATCGGATAACTGTACTATTCTAGGAAAAATCAGAATAAATCACTTAGATGTCGTTTGATGGGGTGTATAAAAATAGTACTGAATATGGTGTATTAGTAATGCTGGAATTAGTGATACTGGAATTAGTTATGATGGGATTATTTTCTTTTCAACTGTTTGATTTGGTGCATTAAAAGGCTTTGAAAAGACAATTCTGTCTTTATTCCAACCTGCTATAATAATTTCATAAACACCTAGCAAAGATATGGCAAACAAATAAAGTAGCCCTATGTTCGGATCTCACAATACTATACCATAATCAAAAGGTACAACGGCCCAAGCAAAATAGGCTCACCCTTTTCGAAAGGCGAACAGCCTGCTTTGCAAGCAAATATATAGCCCCCGCCCCTTTGAGTCGTTGCGAGTCGGAAAGCGTACCGGCTGTTTGAGTCACGAAAGGAACAAGCAACGGATTGATTAAGCGCTAACGCGCTCAAGCAGCCACCCGCGGCTAATTCAATTCACTCTTCTTGAAGCTCTTGTAAAATGGTCTCCGTCCTTCGCTTTCCCTTCCATTCTTATGGTATCTTGAGTGCCTCCCTTTTTTGATGATCTTGTCGCTTCTCTTAAACTATAGCTTCAAGCTACCATTGATGCTTATCTATGTATTAAAAACTATAATACTACTAATGTCATGGTTTGCTATGTATAAGAATAGAATAGTACTGAATAGGGTGCATAACTAATTAATACAAGTATTAGTTATACACAGGTTGAAAAATACTACTCCCTCCGTCTCATATTATGTGTTGTGTTTCTCTTTTACACGTCTCTTAAGAAATCTTAATTATGAAAGGATTGGACTATTCTACCCTTATTTATGCCATAAAATATATACACTATCTTCATTGAATATTTATTATATTTATGTGTTATCTCCATCTTCAAGAACAATTATTACTAAGGGTAAAAAAGGGAAAAAATAATCAGTTTTGTCTTGAACTTCTAAAATGACAAATAATTTGAGACAACTATTTTTAGTAACCATGACTGTTAATATGAGACGGAGGGAGTACCAAACAAGGGGTTAATAATGCCAGAAAAAAATACATATATTATTTTTTCTAATATATCCTACCAAACGACCCCCGAGTATATTTTGACTCTACTAAAATTTTTGAACCTGAGACTTCATAAATCTCTTTCACACTTTATTGATCATTGACCATATCATTGGGTGGAGGCTGCAACCTTAAATCTTTTAACCTTATGATCCATTGGCCATACATAATATTCCAAGAAATTCCTTTTAGAACTTAAGAATTTTTTTTTATCGCAGTAATTAGTCAAATAATAATAATAATAATAAAAATAATTTTAATGACTATGTCAAAGAATGTTTCCAACTTCCACTTTGACGTCTAGTTTGCTAGAATCTTGAATAGGCCTGAACTGAACTAAGTGTAACTGGCCCAACACCATTTGTTCTCGTATTGTATTGAAATAAAAGGAGTAAATTTCTTGGGTGGTTATTCAACTTTGTGTTCGTTACATAAAAGTCACTTTTCTTTCTTTTGTTACGTAAAAGTCCTCAATTTTGTGTTTATTACCCAAAAGTCATTTTTCTTTCTTTAGTTACACAACAATTATTTTACTATGCTCTAGTTATTACAATAATCACTTTGAACAGATTTTACAAACCTTTCACCTGAAAAGTCTATTATGCCCTTGACATTATAAATCCTTCAATATATTCGTAAATTTAATTTTTTCTTAATATTAATTTCCAAGATATATAAGTAGCATTATTAAATTTGTCAGTAACATTACCGTGAACAAATCTCAAGTCCACGTTCTTAATCATGCTTAATGAAATATGTTTAATGAAAATTAAAAAATCAAAGCTCAGTGATTTATCATCCAAGCCATACCCATTAATTTAATAAATAAAATACCTACATTTAGCAAAATGACACATCAGATTAATAATTTCAAATAAATAATACTAACAGATAAAGCTTTAAGAAACTTAATATTAAACACAAATATCTTTGAAACTTTTTTTAAAAATTTTATTGACAATAAAAACTATAATTTGTTAAAAAAATATGTTTTTATTACTTTAAATAAATATTAAATATATATTTTATTATTATTTTTATATTTAAAATATGTTCATGTTTGAATATGATTAAACAAATTGAGTGCCATGAAAAAACTAAATGTATGGATATATTATAAAAATAATAAATAAAATAATTTAAAGTTATTTTAATTATAAGTAAAATACCTAGGTAAAAACATATTATATAGTATGAGTATATAATATAGAATGTATTACATAAATGAGAGGATTAAGGTCAAGGACATAATAGACTTTTCAAGTAAAAGTACTGTAAAATCTGGCCAAGGTGACTTTTGCAATAAATCAAAGAAAATAATTTTTGTGTAACAAAAGAAAGAAAAGTGACTTTTGGGTAATGAACACAAAGTTGAATGATTTTTATGTAACAAAAAGAAAAAAAGTGACTTTTCATAATGAACACAAAGTTGAATGACCACCCATGAAATTTACTCAAATAAAAGGATTTCATGTTTTTCCATAAATTGTTTATTTCTCTTTGCTTTTCTCCCTTTTCAATTTTGATTTATGGTTCATTGATCTTCATGCATAACAACAATAACAACGATGATAATAGCAATAGTAATAATCTATTAGGTATGGGGATGATGAAGATACAAGACTAGTTACACCAGAAACGGGGATCCCCCAAGCTTTAGACTCGGTGCAACTGTTCCATTGGATGAAAGGTATGGGGAGTGCACCAACTATTCTGCATGGACAAGAGAGGAATAAATCGGAGGAGCTGGTGGCAATTCAAACAGAGGCAGCTCCGATAACTAAGACTCCTGCAGATCCTGCACCAAATGAGACGGAAATGGCGACGACAGCTAGGAAACTGACTTTCTCGACAAGCATAGGGATCTCAAAACCAACTCTAGCTGCTGTGGTTCAAGGTAGTAGATCTATACAACAGGGTTTGAAATTGAACTATTACCCCCTATTGTTAAGGATGGAAGGAAAATTGTTAGATTGAACCTCATAGAAGTGGAAAAGCAGAAGAGGAGATGGAGGACTAGCTTAATTGGCTATGTCATAGGTGGATCTCCTCAATTTAAAGAGATGTTGAAATTTGTGTATAGAGTTTGGCAATTTGTTTCAACTCCACAGGTTCTAATGCATGATGAAGGCTACTTTATTTTCAAGTTTGAGAATGATGAGGACAGAGATTTGGTCCTTCAAAACGGACCATATACTTTCAACAATAGACCTATAATTCTGAAAATATAGGAACCAGACTTCCAAATGTGTAAGGAATCCACAAAAAATGTTCCAGTGTGGGTAAACTTCTCGGGGCTACCTATACAATACTGGACAACAGAGAACTTAGGGAGAATTGCAAGCTCGATTGGCAACCCAATTCACACTGACAAACTAACAGCACAAGAGGCTAGAGTATCCTATGCTCGTATGTTGATTGAAATGGATGTGTCCCATGCACTACCTGAGACAGTGCTGATAGAAACTGCTGAAGGAAACACAAGGGAGCAAAAATTGAGCTATGATTGGCATCCTTCCTTCTGTCAAGAATGTCTCACAATAGGGCATGACATAGGGGAATGTAATGGCCAAACAGAGATGGAAAAGTACAAAGGACCTGATGCTAAAGGACAGATAGGTGGACATAACAAGAGGGGAAAAAGAGTAACCACAAAATGGATTGTGAAGCAAAAGACAACAGAGGAAGCACAGGCTAAAGAGGTTAGAGAAGAGACTAGTAAAGAAGAGCCAATTGCACCACCAATTACCAATACAGAAATAGAGCAGCAGGACAATGGCTTTCAGATAGCAAAGTCAAAAGGAAAACAGGTGCAAAGCCCCAAGGAGAGAAGCTCAATGAGAAAGGGTATGACTGATGAAACTACTAAAGCTATACTACAGAAAAACAGATTTAATGCCCTAAGAATCCAGGAAAGAGAGGATGCTAGTTTGGCATCTAAAGAGGAAACAGTTCCTTTGGCTCACCCCCCATGATTATTAGTTCATGGAATATTAGAGGGCTCAATAAGCCCCATAAGCAGAAAGAACTCAAGGCTTTTCTGCTTAAGAATAAAATCACAGTGTTAGGGTGCCTTGAGATCAAAGTGAAAAAATGGAATGAAAAAAAAGTTAGAAGGAGGATTGGAATTGAATGGGAAGTATTCTCAAACTATGCATATTGATAACGCCAAACTATGCCTTATAAAAAGACACACACGGACGTTGCAAATATAGTCTGGGTATTTCTGCCCAGAGTCGAACCACAGAGAATTAACCTATCAATTACTCTTGTCAGATTTACTAGATTCACACAGTCAATTTTCCCAAACTTTGTACTTCACAATTGATGATATGTTTAACAACTAAACTGAAAGTAAATAAAGCTGGAAGTTAACTAAGCTTGCTTGTATATAATTGGAATAAGATATAAGGTAATGGTTTCCCCCGTTGTTGATTTCCTTAGTTGAATATGTATTATAACTCAGACATAGTTGTCTCTATCAATCATGAACACTCTAGCTATCATAAATCTTTCTCAAGCAATTATGATAATTTACTAGACGCACTTTCTCAAGTTACGTTAGCTAGATTCACAAAACAGTTCACTTAGATTGCATCCGAGGTATCGTTATCTCTAATCCTACCTCTAAACCCTCGGTTATGACTCTCGTCTATACTCCGGGAGTGATGTTGTTCATACAATCACCTAAATATTCACTCTCTCTCAAGCAGATACATACTAAATAGGGACGGATAATTGAGGGCCCTTTCAACTAACCACAATCAAAACATAGATGAACAAATAGAGATTAACAACCAATTCCAAATATATTAGTATAACAACCAAGTCATCCCCAACGGGTTTTACCAAAACCTTAGGTTAAAGTATCTAGCTACTCATGACAATGGAAGATAAAATCAATAAATTATTCGTAATGGAAGAATTGCAATAAAAATAGAAGAGAATAGAAACTATGATGTTTTGGGTGATCTCTCACACTTGTTCTTCTTCCAAAAGTAATCTCAAAAACTCTGCCTCCCTATTATGGGCGATTTTCTACATCTTATAAGGGTTTTACACCAAGTTTCCTCGAATTAACACTTTGGTCCCTGAACTTTCCGCGTCCTGCCGCGGTCCTACCGCGGTTACGCCAGGACCGCGACCAGAATGACCTTCAGAATCTGCAGCAATGTTCTGCCGCGGTCCTATCGCGGTTACGCCTGGACAGCGGCAGACCAGCTTCAGTTCTGGCTTTGTCCCTTCGCTTGGTGCACTTTGTGGATATTGTATGATTGGCCTCCTTTTCTCCGTAATTGATCCCAAAAGTACTCCACAAACTTCTTTCATTGGATATAGCCTGCAAAGCATGAAAAACACTAATTAGAGCATTTGGATATCACTTTTTACCGTAAAATCTATATAAAAATATGGTTCTTTAGGGCCTAATTATAGTCTAATTTACCTATTATCACATATGCTCCCAATGGGAGAATATGGGTAATATGGAAGACTCAACAAGTAGATGTTAATATAACTCAGGTTGGAACTCAATTGGTGCACTGTGAGATCAAGGACAGGAATTCAAATTTTAAAAGCTGGCTGACGTTTGTGTATGGTTATAATACTGTTGCAAAGAGACAAGAAATATGGAATCAACTAAAACAGATAAATAGCACTATGATGGAGGCCTGGCTGATTCTGGGAGATTTCAACACTATGTTATCTGTTAATGACAGAATAAATGGTAATCCAGTCCATCAGAGTGAAGTAGTTAATTTCCAAATTTGTGTTGATGATACTAGTTTGGGATTGTTAAACAGAAAAGGATGTCAATGGTCTTGGTGCAACAAAAGAGAGAATACTGATAGAATATACAGCAATATCGACTGGGCATTGGGGAACTCTTACTGGTTCATGCAATATGGCTATATAGAGGCAGTATATGATAACTATGGAGTTTCAGATCATTCACCCGTAGTATTATGTACTGAGATTATCAGAAACCACTTACCAAAGCCATTTAGGCTTCTTAATGTACTTTTGCAGGACGAAGAATTCAACAAGCTAGTACAAGAGGTGTGGGATCAAAATATAATTGGATATACTATGTATTCAGTTTGGCAAAAACTTCAGAAACTTGGAAGCAGGGCAAAAGGAATGAATAGAGTCTATAATTCAGTAGACAAAAAGGTTGAAATTCTAAAAGATCAGCTGCAGGAAATTCAGAAGAAGATAGAAAATGATCTGTTCAACAATACCTTGATCCTGGAGGAGAAAGAACTACTGATGCAAGTAGAAAAGTGGCAAGGTATACAAGAGAAAGTCTACAGGCAGAAATCTAGGGCAGTGTGGATTGCAGCAGGAGACTCAAACACAAAAAATTTTCATGGACATTTGAAGGCAAGGCAAGCTAGAAACATAATTACTACTATCTGTAATGAGCTTGGACAAAAACTAACTGATCCTCTACTAGTTGAACAAGAGTTTACATCCTTCTTTGAAGGTCTCCTAGGAACAAGGGCTTCAGAATTACCCTGTCTTGATGTAAGCATAGCTAGAAATGGTCCTTGTTTAGATAGAGAGCAGCAGCTGAACATGATCAAGAGTGTTTCTGATACTGAGATCCTACAAGGGCTAAAGGAGTTACCAAGTGACAAAGCACCTGGCATTGATGGTTTTCCAGTAGAATTCTTTAAGACATACTGGAATATAGTTGGAGAAGAGGTGATAAAGGCAGTCAAGGAGTTCTTTGAATCAGGAAAGTTATTGAAGAGTGTATGCAGGGCAACCATTACACCAGTACCAAAAGTGGCTAGTCCTTCTTTTGTAAAAGAATTCCGGCCTATAGCATGTTGTACCACCATCTATAAACTCATTGCTAGAATTCTCACTTCAAGACTCAAAACAGTGGTGGACTTCATTGTTGGACCAGCTCAATCAGCACTTATAGAAGGGAGAAGTATACTAGACAATGTTATTCTTGCTCATGAATTGGTGAAAGGATATATCAAAAAAGGGATCTCACCTAGATGCATTATCAAAGTGGATATAAGAAAGGCCTATGATTCTGTTGAATGGTCTTTCTTACAAATGGTGATGTTGGAATATGGGATTCCTACTAAGCTGGTGCAGTGGATTGTGGAGTGTGTAACTAATGCAAACTATTCTATACTGATCAATGGTGGACTCACAAAAAGATTTCAAGCAAAGAAGGGATTGAGACAAGGGGATCCTATGTCCCCATACTTATTTGTCTTAGTGATGGAATATTTGAGCAGAACTTTGAAGAGTTTCAAGGATATTCCTGATTTCAATTTCCATCCAAGATGTGCAAAAATGAACCTCACTCACATCTGTTTTGCAGATGATCTGATCATATGTTGCAGAGCTGACAAGACCTCATCCAACTCTACTAGACAAGTTCAACCACTTTCAAAGGTGA